TGGGATGCTGCCGGGGCGGGTCCGACCCAGAGGAACACCTGTCTGCCCCCACCTGGTCTGGTGGCCTCTCCCCACCGCACCCATAGCACCCCGGACTCCAGGTCCAGCCTGCCCTTTTTAGGAACAGCAGGTGCTGGCAGATTATCCGGCCCCTGCCCAAGCTTCCAGGAGCTTCTGTCTGGACAGACTCCCGAAGTATTAGCTCTGCGAGGAAGCCGTGGGGGTGTGCTGGAAAGAATCTAGTTTTGGAATCCTACCTCTCAACTGCTTACCTGCAGTGTGTCATGAGAGGAGGCTTTTCACCTCCCTGAACCCATTTTACTCCTCTGTAAAACAGGGCAGGTGCTAACCAGCTCTGGCATCTGTCTGTAGGGATCTCAGCAGGTGGCCAGGCTCACTGAACCCCCATGCACCCTCGTGCCTGCTGCCACCACCACCACCCCCAACACATACACAGTGCTGTGAGACTTTGTGAAAGGATGATGTGAAGGTTATTTACCAGGGCTGGGGGTGTGGGAACCACAATCGTTCTCATCTACAGAGCTGGGACGTGGCTAAGTGAGGGCTTTTAGTCCAATGGTGCAAACCCCCTAGTGAGAAGTCAGCAGGGATCAGATCTCGGATGCTGCTCCGCGCTCTTCACATCTCTGTGACAGCCCTATCATCCCCCCACCCTGTCCGTTCTTCGAGTTATACTGAGTGATGCCCAGGCCAAAGACCAGACCACCTCCTACAGACCTAGAAAGCCGGTACCCACAGGAGGGCAGGGACTGACTCCCTGCCAGCTGCCTTCACCTCCCTCCCAAGGCCTAGGTCCTCTCAGCCAACCACCCTGGGCTTTTCTGCTCTGTGTCTTGTTTACGCCTGGTAAATTCACTCACCATTCACCCCAATGATCCACATTCTTAATACCCAGCGATTCTTGAGCTCTCACTCTGTACCAGGTACTACGCTAACAAGGCCTCTGATCTTGCTTACTCCCCCAACAACTGTAACTTGAACGAACACTATTTCCGTTTTACAGAAAGTGAGCATGAAGCCCGCCGAGCCAAACGTGCCCACAGTGAGAGCAAGCCCCACGCTCCAGCTGCGCATGCCAGGTGCAGTTCCAGCCACCTCCTTGCTGAAGTCAACACTGAGCTGATTTGTCTTCAGCGCTTGGTGGCGCTTTCTGTGGGTCTCTGCTGATGGGTTAGCGGCCCCAGGTGAGTCCAGCACACAGCAGGCTCACTGCAGGCCTCAGAGGAATGGGAAGTGTCTGACCACTGCTTCTTGGGGTCCATACAAACCACTGTCCCCCAGCCCCATGGTCCTCTCTTAGCCTCAGCCTCAGCAAGAAGGGAGAGGCCTACTTCCTGTTTCTTTGGGCTGGGGAAGCCCTAAGTAAAGGTTTCTAGGAGGCCTAGTGAACACAGGGACGCCCCCACCCCCAGTTTGTACCTTTCTTCCCTCTTTTCCCGCCTCTCCTTCTCTTCAGATTGGTCCTTTCTTTGCGGTCATTTCTTATTTATAATTGCATGTCACCTACCAACATTCTAGAAAAATGCCAGCGCAAATTTTGTATACTCCTGTGTGCTTATGATTTTTATATCTCTATTTGCATGCCGTTTGCGTGCCCGTGTGCACCGAGGGTCTGATTCCTTGACCACCATGTTTCAGGCCTGGTTCTCTTGCCCAAGTACAAAGTCATGTTTCTTCTCTGGGTTTCAGCTTTCCGGAAGCCAGTGAATCATGTGCCCAAAGATTTTTCAGGGTCTTCCAGCTCCAGCAGCCTAGGATTCTGCGGTTCCAGGGATGGAGAGGGGAGTAGGTTGGACTTTTCGAGAATGGGGCCCACTGAGGCAGGAATGGGAATTGAGATGAGAGGGTGGGAGAGGGTTGGAGTGGGAGAGGATGAAAGACATACCTCACCCCTTTTCATTCACTCATTATTCCATAACCTTTGATTGAGCACTTCCCTATACCGAAAAAGGTGCTTCATGTCATTTGGTCAACACAACTTTATATAAATATTTAAGTTTTTTTGATTTATGCATACACAAACTGGGGTACAGGCCAGAGGTGCGGGGGGTGAGAGGATTCACCAGAGACAAAGTGGGGAACAGAACAGTCAGATTGACTGAAATACATTGCTGAGGGGGAGCCACGGGGGAGAAAGGAGAGGTCTGCTGTGCCATGTGGGTCACCTCCCTGGCTCATGCTACAATGGCTGCAGACAGCCTCACAGTGTTGCACTTGAACCAGCTGTGTTACCAGAGTGGGCCCTGGTCAACACAACTTTAGAAGGAAGATAATTGTTAAGCTCTTTTTATAAATGATGAAAATGAGATTCATGGCACTTAGCAGGTTGTTGGGGTTTAGGCCGGATGGGTAAATCAAAAGCCAGCACTTTCAGTTCTGCCCTCCAGCCTGTGAGTGTCCTCTTCTCTTCTGCCCCCCATGACCTTAGAACTGAGAGGTCTTACACAGCTCCCACTTGAGGAACTGGAGGCCCACCTCAGGTGACACTTGCCCAAGGTCACATGCCAGAGCCCAGTCTGTCCCAGCTTCTGCTCTTCCTGGGTCTTAGAAGGTAGGGTGGGTTTTCAGTAAGTGTAGGGAGAGGGTGGAGCTCTTCAGCTCCCGGAACCCATTTTTATTCCTCCCTCATCAGGTTTGCCTGATGATCTCTTCAGTTAGCTGGAGGAATAGGAGCTCCCCCCAAACCCCTCTCCTTCACAGTCTCCATGAAATAGGCGTTTTGGTTTCTGGGCAGAAGGGAGGTGGGTCAGTTCTCTGTTTAGCCTGAGTAAGGGAAAGCTGTGGGGAAATGTAGCAAGATAGGGGATAATGGAGATAAGAATGGGAAAAAGAAGTCAGGACAGGAAATTTCGGTGCCTCTGGACATCAAAAGAGTTGTATGCAAATGAAATGCAAATGTATCTCCCTGCTTCCCTTCCCCCTACCCTCTCTCAACACCTGGAGGCTTTTTCAGTGAGTAGCCAAAACCTTAGGCCAGAGTGCAGTAGTCCCCAAACTGTGATCCTGCGTGACTGCTGAGCCCCTTGGTTGTGCCTCTGGAAGTCACTCCTTGAGCCTGCTATCAGCTTCTTTTGCTTCAAGGACAGGCGATTCTACCAGTTAAGCCTCTTCTTGCAGACACTTTGCTGGATATGGGCCATGGCCCTGGGGAGTGGACTCAGGGGTGGGAGATGGGCTCCCAGCCCTGTTCCCCACCTCAGCAAAGACAAGTGGCCTTCTTGGCTGCAGGCCTTGCCGCTTAGTCTCATTTCCTGTCATGTCAGCTAGATTGAGTTGTCAGGGCTGGGAGAAGGGTGGAGAGCAAGGCATCCTGGAAGGCCACCAAACAACAAGTCCCTTCTAGCCCCTTCTGTCTGCCAGATGGGCTGCAGGGCCCAGAGCGTGGGGGTGCAGGGTGGGGGTCAGCTTTTTGCCTTGGGGCTACCACAGGGAGTGAATCTAAGCTCAGTTTTCCCCAATGAGCAAATGGAAGAAAGGTAGAGCCCAGGAAGAACGTCTAAACCTGTTTTAAAGTCACACCTCAGAGTAAATCTGATCGTACCCTCACCAGGAGGAGTATTGCAGAATGGAGGGGAGACCGTGTCAGGGGGATAAAGTAAGAGGTGTTGGAGAAACGAGGAGAATTCAACTGTCTCTGGGAAGTGGACAGAGAGGACACGCCTATGGTGACGTGCAGCTATTTCCTGCCCCTGATATCACTAACGCTCAGCCCCCAACCTGAACATCCCCCCCTCACCCAGTATACAGCCTCCATTCACGTCTAGAGAAGTCTAGCCAAACTCATTGTGTAGCACTTGAAGTTTCAGAATCAGAGATAATAAGAATATGTATTGAATTCTAAAATAGCATAGCAACTGTTTTCCAGCGAAGTTGTTGGGTTTGAGACCAGTGTTGGGACTGAGTCCACGGCTTAATCAACCCTTCGTGGAGCTTACTTCAGTCAGCTCTTTCTTGGTGCTGCTGCTTGGCCTACCTCCGCCCGTTAACCTGGTCCCCCTACCTGTTCAGAGCAAGTCCAAGCCCAGCACGCCCTCTAGTGGTCCTGGGGTGTGTAACCCTGACTGGAACACCCCTGCCTGGAAAACCCCCACCTGCAAGAGTCCAGAGAGGACACACCACTGTCTTGCAGTTAACTGTCCCTCCATCCATGGCTGGAGGGACCACAGGTGGGGGCCCAGTCTCAGGACAGATAGGACATACTGGATTTTCAGTTCAGAGTGCTGTTGGGTCTCGCAGGCCATGCTCCCCATCAAAGGCTGGAGTTCGTCCTGGGACTTCAGCTGGTGTCGGCCAATCTGGTCCCACTTGCCGCAGTGACTAGAGTCCCTGGCCCACCAGGCTGTGTATCCTGTTGCTGCACAGCAAATCTGGTTAGATGTCCTCACTCACCCACTGCCCTCTGGAACTGCTGAGCTACGTGCCAATCTTACCCCCGTACATAAGAGGTCAGTAGCCATCTGTCCGTCCACATCCGGAGCATGTCCTCTGGAGCTCTGCATCAGGCTGGGAACTGGCAATGGAATAGAGACCAGACACCACCCCGGCCCTTAGGAAACTCACAGTATAGTGATATTCGTGGTCCTCTGAGCAGGCAGGTCCCTCACATGTATGTGTGGTCTAATGGGGAAGTAGAAGGAATCAGAGGGGCCAGCTGTGGAACACTCCTTGTCAGAATCTGGGGGAAGGCATCAGGAAAGGGTTCTCAGCAGAAGAGACATCTAAATCAAGATCCCCGGAAAGAAGGAGGAGGCGGGAGTGGAAGTAGAGTTACAAGCAGAGGAACAGCGGTGCCAGGAAGGTAGACCACAGCCACACAGGACAGGCCGGCTAGGCCACAGTGGTGTGAGCTGGGAAAACACGAGAGCATGGAAGTGACGGTGCTAGGGCAGGGGTCCTTGAGGATGCCCAGCTCAGGTGGGAAGCGTGCACGGATTTCAGCAGCAGGTGACTAGTGACTGATTGTGACATAACCTTGGCTCTCAACAGGAGGTTGGGAATTGCTGGAGACGAGCAGCCTGGCCAGAAGTTTGGCTGTAAAGGAACATGGAGAAATAGGACAGAGGTGGAGAGGGTTGGAGCTGAGGTGTCTGTGTTTTTTTTCTTTCTCAGATTTATTTTATTTGTACATACAGAACTGGGGTACAGGCCAGAGGCTCAGGGGCGGTGAGAGGCTTCACCAGAGACAGAGTGGGAGCAGAACAGGCAGATCTACGAAGTACACTGCTGAGGGGAGCAGCAGGCGGGTCAGGAGAGGTCTGCCACACCATGTGGTCACCTCTGGGGTAGGCGGGAATCGAACTCATGTGGAAGTGGCTTTAGATTCTCAGTGCTGTGCTTTAACCTGCTGCGCCACCAGGGAGGGCCTGTTTTGTTTCTTAATGTGAAAGATTTAGGTATTCTCAGGGCTAATGAGAAGGGGGTAGGACAGAAAGAAGCAGAAGGGGGCAATTTTTCCAAGAAGGAAGGGAGCGGGGCTGAGGTTTAGAGACCTGGGGTGGAGAGAAAGGATACTTCCTTTACTATCAGGAAAGGAAGAATCCAGAAGGGCAGTGTCCATGCAGGTGGGTGGAGACACGGCGACACAGGCATGCTATGAGAGCAGCGTCACTTCCTCAGGCCTCTCCCAGCTCTGGAGTGAGGACATGGCCCTAGGTGACACACACGGGAGCCAGAGCTGAGGTGGGGAGGTCATCTCAGCAGATGTGGACACCTTCACTGAAAGGCTTGGTTGGGCCTGGCCGTGAGCCTGTCACCCGCCTTCTATGCCTTGCCCTACCAGAAGTCACCCTAAGACACTCTGAGTCTGTGCCAGCCAGTCTGTGCCACTGCCTTCTGGGTCACCAGCCATTGTTACCAGCCAAGGTCTCTGCAGGAAGACAGAGTCAGCCTAACCCCGAGGGCCTTAAATGTCATTATTGCTCATTGGCAGAGATGCAAACCAGAACCAGAACCAGAGAGTCCCGACATCGAAAAGCTGGAGCTGAGGAGGCCAGAGAAGAGGAACAGGGAGCACTGGACAATGGAGCCGTCGACAGGTGAGGGGCTGAAGCAGCAAGGAGCAGGAAGCACATGCCCGGGCCCGCGCTCGCCCTGCCCTGCCCTCTGATCTCTGGTGCTTCTCACTGGCTGGAGTGTGAGGGAACCCAGCCAGCCCAGAGGCCAGTATCCTGGGGGCACAGAGCACAGAAGAGCAGAGGAAGGTGGGATGAGGCGGGTAGGGGTGGGAGCAAACAGAATGCCTTACCTGCCTACGGTCACTAGATGACCAGGAGACTAGAGCCTGGAATGTCCGACGGCAAACGACTTTTGATACCAAGCGACAGCAGGCACGATGCTTCATTGTAGGCATCTCCTGAGCTAGATGATGGTGTCCAGCAGTTGGGTCTAACACGGTCTAGACGTTGTTCTGAAGGTCATTTTGTGGCTATCATATGCATCTACAGCCAGCTGACTTCAAACAAAGAAAATGACGCTTGATAATGTGGGTAGGCCTCCCCCAAGCAGTTGAGAGCAACACCTGAGCTTTCCTAAAGAAGGAATTTCCCCTCAACAGGAACACAAATCCTGAGTTTGCAGCTTGCCCACAACCTACAGATTTGACACTCAAGATGGCAGCATCAACTTTCAGCGAAGCTGTCAGCCGGAAGGATACCGGATTTGCCACCCTCACAACTGCATGCACTGGTTTTGGGGGACCCTGCTTGCTACTGCAGAAATGTGGCCCCAGCTGACCCTCTGATGAGCCCGTTTGAGTGTGTAGGTTGGAGTGGACTAAGGCAGCCCAGGTTTGGAGCACAGCTCTGTGCCAACTAACTAGCTGTCTGACCTTAGGCAAGTTGCATCATTTTAGGTGAGCCACCTCCAAAAATGTCGTTGGCTGCAAAGAAACCAAGAGCTAATTTGTATGAAGGCATTTTGTTACCTTAAAGTACCAGAGAAATGAGTATTTAGTGTGAGTCCTTATCTCTCCCAGGTGTTGCCACAGGTCCAGGAAGGCTCCCGAAGTAGAGCTTTATCTGGGCATCCCTCAAGGAGCTGGTTGCCCACATCTCTCTTAGCCAGTCCGCCACAGTTCTGGTGCCTGCTGTGGCTGGAGGTGCCATGACAGAGCGGGGTTGTAGAGGGGGATGAGGTGGTCTGCAGTGGCAGGAGGCATCGACTTTGCATACTGAAAGTGCTCCCCTCGGGTCAGCTCCAAGTCTTGGGGAGTCTCCACTCTCACCTTCATACCCCAAGAAGCCTGAGGCAGGGTGGTCTGTGGTAACCTCTCCAGACACCCCCCACTGCCGGCTGGGAGGCACTAGTCACTCACAAAGAAGATTTAAAAAATATATTCCAAGTTTTAAAAACATGACTTTTAAGAAAAAGCATTATTTGGGAGTATTTGGGAGTTACAGTGGTCTATGGCTTGAGGGTCACAGGTACACACATAGATAAAGGAGGGTGGAGGTGCCTTCCCAGAAAATCCTGCCCTGCCAGGAGTGGGCATGTGTGTGTGTTCAGGACTGAGGCCCAGGCCTGGTTTCCACAAACTCTGGCCTGCACACCTTTGAGGGGGAGCAGCAGCCTCTTCTGGGGAAAAGCAAGCGGACTGCTCTGCAAGCTCCTTTCCCTCTCCAAGGCTTCTAGAAAGGCCCTGACTCGCCCATCTCCTGCTGATGAGTGGGTCGCCTGAACTTTCCTACCCCCTGAAAAACATTCCAGTGTTAGTCCCTTCCCTTCCATTTTGCCAAAGTCTTACCACCCTTTAGCCTCAATCATGTTTATAAACTTCCCCGATAAAGTGTGTGTCTGTCCATCTTGGAAGTCCCTCAGGGCTCAGCCCTGCCGTTCACACAATAGTTTCTGTATCAGAAGATGCTTTTGAAGTGAAGGGGCCTTGGTGATGTCCGCTACAGTTGTCTCAGGTTTATGGATGAGGAAGTGCTTGTACTTTCCATTACTAGAAACATTATAAATAATAACAGCTAACACAGTACGTGCTTTTTATGTGCTAAGCACCTGCCATGTAGGAATTCACTTAAGCCTCACAAGGAAATGCACTTTATAGGGGAGAGAACTGAGGCCCAGAGGGGCAAAGCAGATTGACCCAAAATTATATAGCAAATAAGCACGGAACCCTGGCAGTCTGGTTCTGGAATTGTCACCGTACCGCTTGTCTTAATCTATTTCAGGCTGTCGGTTATAGTCTGGCTTGCTGACCTGCGATGCCTCCTTCCTCTTTCTGCCATTTGTCTTACCCTTCCCTAGGGACCCCCTCCCCAGCCACTGCCATACCTGACAGCCAGGCGATGCCTCTGGAGCCCTCTAGGTTGGGCATCGAGAGGGCTTGTTAACTCATCTGACACCAGGTGGCAGCATTTGCCAAAAAGTCTCAGAAGGGCGAGTCTTGCGTTGTCGAGTAAAAACTTAAAACTTTTATTTCTGGTACAAATGATAAATACTTTGCATTAAAAATCTGGAATTCAAGTTTTCTTTATACTTCATGCTCCCTTCCTCTCTGCCGCAGAACCTTACAAAAATACGTCTGTGTGGGGCGGGGGTAGCTGGCGCTGCTCTGGAGGCGAGTCCTGGTCTGGGGAAAGGCACCGTTGGCATCTCAGGGCTGGGCGGTCCTCTCTGCCCAGGCATGGCCTTGGAGGCCAGCAGAGAGGAGAAGGCTTTGTGGCCAGGGATGGGGCTCGGGCATCCGACCCCAACAGTCCCCTCTGTGGCAACCCCCCGCCCCTTGCTGGGTGCAGAGGGGCGGCTCAGTCCACAGTAGGGGGAGGGGTGAGTGGGGAGGTGGGTACAGAGGGCATAGACTCCTTTCAGGGTCTAGACTGCCTAAGCGTTAAATAGAAGAATCACAGGCCATCACATTTCGGTCGCTTGAAAAATACTTCAGGGGAGATGAGGCAGGGAAAGGGTGCAAGTTTGGAGAAACTTCTCCCTCTGTACCCCAAGGAAGGCACAGAGTGGGAGTGGGGGTGTCTTCAAGACTTAACCCCTGCCGTGCCACACCCATTTCACAGTCACGTGTGATCGGGCCAGAGGCTCCGGGATTAGGGGAAGGGAAGGGACATGAGGCTTCACAGGGGGTTGTCACCCCTTGCTGGGGAGGGCCAGCGGGCCCAGGGAGGTCACCTCAGGACCCATCTCTCACTCCACGCGCTAGGGGTCCTCATCCCAGAGACACAGCTGCCTCTGGGGCACGTAGAAGTCAAAGCTGTAGTTCTGCCGGCAACTGCGGATGCCACATTTGTAGGGCGCCGGCCGGTCGCGGCTGTGACAGTACTTGAGCATACAGGGGTACCAGGCCAGGCTCAGGCCATAGCGGCAGAGACAGGGCTTCCCGCGGTCCCCCATCTGCCTGCAGCGAGGCAGCGCCAACTGCTCCGTGGCCTTGGGCAGAGTTTCGAACACCGAGTTGTCCACACCTAGTGGAGAGAAGGGACCGTGGGTCAGGGACAGGCCAGGGCGAAGCAGCGGAAATAACCATCACCCTAATTTTTAGAGTCCCAAATGACTGCCAGAGTCTCTCTATAGATAGACTCTCTGCCTGTCACTCCTGCAAGCTAAGTGTTATCATCTCTGTCTTACAAATGAGAAGGCTGGCTCAGAGAGCTTGAAGGGCCAGGCTGAGGCCGCTCAGTAAGTAGGAAAATCAACACTGAGCCCAGGCCCGCTTGCCTCCAAGCCCTCCTCTCTGCCTGTTGGCTGGCTGTGCTTAAAAGCGTCACTCTTCCCAGATGTATGGGGCAGAGGTATGGGGAGCAGCAGGAGGAGAGCTTCTCCAAGGAGGTGCTCTCTGAGGCAGGCCAGGCAGGGAAAGGCGGGCACAAACATGCTGGGAGTCAGGGTGACCTGGGTACAGAGTGGGGGTGTAATAGGAGGGAGCGCATGAGGGCAGTGACCCAGCTTGGTTCACCATCCTAAGAAGGACCGGACCCTGGAGACAGAATCAAGCCTGCAGCTCAGTTTGGGGGCAGGTGTGAAGGGCATGGCGATGGGTCTCTCGGGCATCTCGCAATCCAGCCATTTCTCGGTGCCCAGGAAGCTGAGCAGGACCAGGCCTCTTCCTGTGCCCTCTAGCTGGAGACCTGGGGACAGTCCTGGGAGCGGAACCAGGAAGTGGGCTGTGGTGAGGTAGCACAGGCTGGAATTCAGGGGCCACACAAGAATGGGTGGCTTCGAGGGTCTCGGGGCTGCGATGCTAGCCCCAGGGAAGGTGTGATGGAAAGGGCAGGAGCGGAGTTCTGAAGTGGCAGCAAAGGGCAGCAGGTGGACATGGCTGCCATTGGGCCCCACTGAGACCCAGCGAGATGGACGGTCCTCCTCTGTTCTCACTAAGGGAGCAGCGAGGTGGGTGCTGCCTGGGAATGCCCCCCAGAGGGCCTAGCAGGATGGCAGCTGTGTGTATTCCTGCCTGGCAGGGCCACACAGCATCCCTTCCTCCAGGAAGCCCTCCCTGACCCACCCGCCTGGTCTGGCGGTGTCTCTCTGAACACCCACGCAGTGCGATACAGCAGTGGGCAGCACCAGCTGACCTTGCTGCAGCCAGAACTCGACGTCCTCCTGGCGTGTGTAGATGGCGTCCACAGCCTCGGCACACACGTTGCGGAGATGGGGGCTCAGCAGGCCCCCCAGGCTGAAGTTGACCGCGATGTCCATGTGCAGGTGCTCTGGGCCCCGTGTCTCCTCAGCTTGCCGCACGGCCCGTGGGTTTTTCTGTGTGGAACAGACAAGTCACCCCACGAACTTCCGGCACCCCCTGCCCGTCTCCCGATAGCTGAGGGCAGAAGTGTCCAGGCTGGTGCCTTTAGAACTTTGGACGTCACAGCAGCAGCCCCCCTCCAGCTGGTCCAGAACTGATGCCCAGGGCTGCAGGCAAGTCCTCGGCCAAGCCCAGTCACTGGGCTGACCGCTGGGGCCTGATATGTTGCTAGGGGGTGGGGGTGTTAACGGTGAGCAGGCAGGGCAAGCTAACCAGTGTAAATGACCTTTGAGGTTACGTGGTTGCCAACATCAGGGAGCTGAGTTTCTCTGGAAAGGGCACGCAGAGTTGGGTGTGCCAGGGGCAGGCCCTGGTGGTGAGTGTAGGGGAGCTAGATGGGGCTGGAGCCCAGGCAGGGGCCGGGAGCGGTCAGTGGGCTGAAGTGTTCTGAACAGCACATGGACCCGTGATGATGTATGGGATGTACATTTCATTCTCACTCGAATCCATGTCTCACTAAGACAGAGGCTTTGAAGGTGAGGAAACCGGTCCCATGTCACCAGTGAGTGGGGGCGCTGGGTCTGAAGGCAGGTCCAACTTGACTGCCCAAGCCCCACCCCCACTCCTTCATAAATGGGCGGAGCTGAGGCCAGGGGGCTGCAGGAATCTGGCGCTGGTGCAGATCGGAGATCTGGGGGCGGGGGGGGTTAGATGTGGCCTAACCAGGGGGCCTCGGGGTTATAGAGCAAGAAGAGGGTGCTAGAGATGAGGGTGCAAGTAAGTCAAAGGCAGTGGGGCCAGGTAAAGCGTGAAGATGAGAGGCTGGTGGGAGAAGAGTTTGGGGGGGTCCAGGTTGACTGCGGAGCTGGGCCTCACCTGTCGAAGCTTGGCCATGGCCTCGCTGGGGATGATCTCATTGTGGTGCAGCCGTGTGACAAAGCAGAGGGCTTGGAACTGGCTCTGCCCCTTCTCCAGCTCCCCCAGGATCAGGGCTCGGAAGATCTTCACGTCCTGATAGAGAAGCGCAGAGGATGGGGAACAGCCGGAGAGGGTGGGGCCTTGCACCCACCCACGCAGCGCTCATCCTGGCCCCTTAGACACCAGCCTGGACCCTGCCCTGCAGTAGACCCCTCCTTCCTGCTGGCCTTAGAATTTTTATCTTTCCCTCTTCAACCCATGTCTGAAAAGCAAGAACACAACCCAGATGCTCCAAAGTCTCCTGGAAAATACACAGGCAGCCAGTGAGTGTTTAAAATGATGGAATATCACCCTGAAGGAAAGAGAGCCCTTTTTTGGAACCTGGCTCATCCATAGTGGAAGATTACCTTGGGCAGTGAGCAGCAGGGTGGCCTGTGACCCCCTTGGGGTGGGCAGGCAGGGCCCCTGCAGCCAGGGCCCAGGGTAAGTCCTTGCTGAGTCAAGTGTGGCAGCTGTTCTGCTGGGCGGTGGTTGCACGTTTTACAAGTACAGATTCATTTTTATGCAAAGGTTTTGGGGTGAGGCCTGCAAAGTGGTGTTTCTCAAAATGCCCCAGGTGCTGCTGATCAGCCGGCTCCAGGCCTCCGGCGTGGTATATGGAGGTCACTGGGGCCTGACGGAGTGCAGGGCAGTGGCAGTCAGGCTGGCCTGAGGCTGCTGGGATGGCTCACCTTTCTCCTTCCCTTGTAGTTTCCCCTTCACCCACAGGTTGCTAATGGCCTCACCAGCAGGCCAAGGGCGCCTTCCTACTACTGACTCACTGGATGAGTGGGGAAGGTTGGAGGGGGGCAGAGGGAAAACGGAGAAGGGCTGTGGGCACAGGACCCTGTGCTCTGGTCCACTGCATGGCTCACCAGCCCCTCCCCACCAGGGGTGCCCTGGTCTCACTCATCCCTGTGCCTTGGACAGCGGCTCCCACGGCTTTGCGGTGGACCTGAGTATGCAGCCTTGTTTGCTATTTACTTCCAGTGTCCGGCGTCTGGTCTCACCCACTAAGACAGCATGTTCACTGCATGCTGACCGGAGACCTGCTGGAGTGCAAGAGCTTGGAGGACAGGGACTGAGAGGCCCCCTTGGGTTCTTGTGCAGACAGTGGGGGGCCCATGATTCTACCCCATGCCCATCAGAAATCACCAGCACTCAGGTACACCTCTCAGTTTCTCCAAGCCTCATATCAGGGGGGATGAAACCCATTTGCCTGGGCTGGCTGTGGTGTGGGCAGAATGATTTAGTGAAGAGGGTGTAGACGAGTTTGGGTGAGTGCTAGCTATGGCAACTGTCACATAGCAGGGAATCTGAAGCCAGTGAGGGCTGTCTTCCCAGACACCCCCAGGTGCTTCTGAGTCCTTCTGCTCTTCCAGAATGTGTCTCTCGCTTCCTTTTACCATAAATGATTTCTGGAGCAATGGGATGTGGGAGTGTAAGGGGAGATTGTCCACCGATGTTGCAGAAAGGGAAACTGGGGCCCAACTGGTGAGCAAGATTCCCAGCAAGTCCCTCACGACCCTGAACTTGTGGGCACGGTGATTCAGTGGTCGGGTGACCCCAGCTTCCTCTCCACAGGAAATCTGTCCTTGGGCCACAAGACTATTGTCCCCTTGCCCTGTCAGCCTGGCCACCTGATCCTCCATCCCCTCGGGGCGCCTGAGGGGAAGCTGGAAGCTGGACACTGGTGCATTTTCCACTCCGCGTTCATTTCCTGCCAGGTGAGACTTGATACTGGCCTGCTCCTGGGGCTCGAGTCAGGCGGATGTCTCTGGCAGGACTGTCCAGGCAGGATACCAAGTCCACCTCCTGGGTATTTTCAGCAATGACTTGAAGAACCCTGTATCTTCTCTAACACCTCATGTGGGTGCGGTGCTTTGTGGTCCGCAGCTGCTGTGGTCCAAGGGGTTCCATGGCTTGGGGTATCACCTGCCCACCACCCGCAGGAGAAAGCTTTTGAAGCTTTACAGGATGGAAAAAATCTGTTTCCCACTCCCTCCCCTATTCAAGACCAATGTCATTGACAACAACAAAACCCAACCAAAATGGGAACCTCACTGGGCGTGAAGAGAGGGAATGAATGAGAGTTTCCACTGCGATAACACGTTTCCCTCTATCTTCCCTATTTGGCTGTAGGACAAAGATATATTGACTTTTATGACTGGAAAGACCCAGTCATTGTTACTTGAGTCAAAAAGGATATATTGTCCTGTTTAGAGCCCCGGTAACAACAGGAGGTGGGAACTATGATTATTGCTGAGGCTGGCAGGGGTGAGTACGCAGGTCATGGGACTAAGGAAACGGAGCTGGAATATTAACTCGGGCACTCTGACTCCACGGTCCCAGCTCCTCAGTTTCAATGCACAGCTGCCTCTCATGTCAAAGAGCTGATTTCCTGGATGCCCGGCAGAAGAAACAGAAGCTGAGGCCCAGCGACGTCCCGCGGCCTGCCCTGGGCCACCCCACTGGTATGGCATAGCCAGGACTAGAACTCAGTTCCCTCTTTCCGCTTGCTCTTTTTTAAGTCCTCTCGAGAGTTCATTCCTGGTTCCACGTGACTAAGAAACACCAGCATCTGCCACAAATCGGAGGGTAAGATGAGGCAGGCACACCTTCTGCACCCTGCTTGTCCTGCCTTCTCTAGTCTTCTTAGTCATAATTCTCCAGAAAAAACCACAGTCTACTTGTTGACCCCTGGGAAAGAGTGGGTTCTCCCAGTTTCTGGGCTCTGGCTTCATCCTTTAGACTGAGGTCCTTCCTACCCGCTACTGCCTACATCATCACTGAGGTTCTAGAAGTCTGTTTCCTTCCGGCACCGAGAGCAGGTATCCCTACTTCAGAGAACATCTGGCCACAGGCTAGTCCCAGCCAGATGGAAGGCAGGCTGCCAGGCTTCCTCCTTGTGCTGGAGTCCTGGGATGATCGTCCCTGGGATCGTCCCTGATGTGGCTTGGTACCCAAGGCAGAGGAGCTGCTTGGGAAGATGCATGTCAGGGGGCTGGAGGCAGGCAGCCCCTGAGGGTAGGGCTCTGAAGATCTCGGATGTTTCTATAAGGTTCCTTCTCTCATGAGCTCTCAGACCCCCAGTCCACCAGGAGCAGGAAGAAGAGGAGTGTCTGGCCACCAGGACAGAGATTGGGGCCATGCAGCGGGTAGGCAAGTGTGCACAGAGAGTGTGCTTGCTGAGTGCTTTGTCTGAGGTCTGAGTAAGGAGCAGAAGGGGTAGGGACTGAGGCAGCACAGGGTTGAAAGCAGAGGCCTCGGAGTCGGGGCCCCCTCGACCCACACCCGGGCCTCGGAGTCGGGGCCACCTCTCTCCACACCCGGGCCTCGGAGTCGGGGTCACCTCGACCCACACCCGGGCCTCGGAGTCGGGGCCACCTCGACCCACACCCGGGCCTCGGAGTCGGGGCCACCTCGACCCACACCCGGGCCTCGGAGTCGGGGCCACCTCGACCCACACCCCGGCCTCGGAGTCGGGGCCACCGCTCTCCACACCCGGGTTTGCTGACACTAGCTGTGTGTCCTGTGTGTCCATGTGGGGAGTTACTTCCCCACTCTACCTTAGTCTCCACATCTGCAAAATAAACCCAACCTACATGAAGTGATTATTGTGAGGAAAGAGCAGTGAAAGTTCTTGGAACAGACTGGGATGAACTCTTTAGGTTTCCCTGCTACAGTTGCTTTCGCTATTTCTCCAAGAGTGACCTACCAGACCAGCAGAGGCAGGAGGGAAGAGTCCTCTCCTAGAGATGCACCCAAGGCCCAGAGAGGTCAGTGTCTCTGCTGGGACTTGCAGGGAGTCAGGTAGCAGTGAGCGAGCATGAGGACTCTTCAGAAGGTACCAGAGGAATGGCCAGGACCAAGTCAAGGCCGGGTCTCCAGGGGGCTCACAGGGGAGCCTGGGCTCCTACAGCCGAAGTCCATGGTTTAGGCAGTGAGCCACGTAAGGCCTCGTGTTGAGGTTTGTGCAAAGGAGGGGTGAAGGAGTACCTGTTGGTCCTTTATGGAGCTGGGGCTAGGGTGGGGGAAGGCAGGAGGACTTCCTGGAGTGAGGGACAGTTCCATGGTCCCTGACAATTAAAGAGTGGGAGTTTTCTAGCAAAGAGGGCATTTATAGAAGATGGAAGGCATGAGGGTTTCTTAACCCCCACCCTACTGAGGCCTCCAAGCTATTGTCACCTGATGAGCCTCACACCTTCAAAGGTTCCTTTTGTCCTCACCATGAAGCATACCCCAAAGGCTGGTACCCCATCAAAGCCTCCCCTTGCACTCCCTGTGGCTGAGCCAGGGAGCCGGTGGTTGTCCCTTGTGTCTCTCTGTGAGCTGACTCCTCTGTGGGGCCTCGTGGTCCCCATGTGCCTGTCACTGGGCGCAGCAGCCTTCAGGCAGAGTTGGCCAGTCCCAACTCCTAACCTTTACTGCACGAATCCCACTATGTCTGCAGCCATCTCTACACTGGCCTTTCCTACCAGAATCAACACCTGGGGGCTGGGGCAATATAGTATTTGCAGTTCTGTCCCCCTAGAATGCAACAGGTGCTCAGCAAGTGTCTTACAATAACTAAATGTAGGAACCACATGAATAAACAAGTGCATGGAAAGGTTATGAGATGAAGGAGAGGAAGACCCAGAGACAGCTGGGTTGAGGAGAGGGTGGTTGAGGGAGGCATTGAGTGGGAGGACACAGGGTCTGAGAGCCCAGCCAGGAGTCTGAGCTTAATCTAACATCATGGTCAGGTTTGTTTTTTTTTTTAAAGATTAATTTATTTATGCATACAAGAACTGGGGTACAGGCCAGTGTGTGGGGGGGTTTAAAAGAATTTACCAGAGACAGAGTGGAGAACAGAACAGGTGGATTGACTGAAATACACTGCTGAGGGGAGCAGCAGTTGAGACAGGGATGTCTGTCACACCATGTGGGTCAGCTGCCTGGCTGGGGATCAAACTTGTGCTCCAGTAGCTACCGGTAGCTTCCTAGTGCTGCACTTTAAACCCTATGCCACCATGGAGACCCCAGACATGGTAGGTTTTGAGCCTGGATGTGACATGAACAGATCTGTAGTTCAGAGCTCAATCAGCAATTGGAGTCGATGGGATGTGCACACTGCATCGAAGTGCTGTGCACAGGGTTCTCATGTTGCATCTCTGGTCAGGCATAAGTCATCCAGGCTCTCCATGACCTGGCCCTGGCTCAAGGAGAGCAACTTGACCTCATGTATGCAGTAGCCTCAGCATCTGGCACAGAGCCAGAGCTCAACACTTACTAGTTGAGTCAATGAATGGCGGCTCTGGGGCCTCCATCAACCTCTGCATCTCCAACAAGAAAGTGGCTACCTTGGGTTTTCATGTAGCTGGGCTCCTGCAGGCTGGCACAGCCATAATGACATTCTGGTCAACAACAGACCTCATACGTGATGCTGGTCCAAACAGGCCACACTGCAGAGTTCAGCTCATCTAGTTAAGCATAATCACACTCTGACACACACACAAGGACTCATTTCTGAGAAAGTAACCCTGTCATTACAGCACACACGACTGTAGTTCTACAGTTGCTATTTTGGCTTCCAGAAGCTTTGGAAGATCAGTTAATTCGTGATCCAGTCAGGTTCCAGCATGACCTTCACAAGTCACACAGCAGAGTGAGGGCAGATGCCCACGTGTCCTGACTCTCAGCCTATCTTTACTCCTCTAAGCTTCCTCCTCAGCCCTGTCGAGTCATTCTTCTAGGTCCACTCCCTGCCACGTGGGTTTTCTGAGATCTACTCAACTTATCTCACAAAAGCTCTGTCTCAGCCACAAGAGGTTCCAGGTGAACACCCAGCCAGCAGAGAGCAGCCATGAGAAAAGCAGGGACCCCGGTGACTGCAGACACCCTGTGCCGGGACTGCACTCAGCCTTGGCCTGGGGAAAGGCCCGCAGTTTGTATATATTTTTTTAACATTTATTTATTTATGCATATAAAAACTGGGGTATAGGCCAGAGGTGCAGGTGTGTGAGAGGACTCATCAGAGACTGAATGAGGAGCAGAACAGGCAGATTGACCAAAACACGTTGCTGAGGGGAACAATGGATGGGACAGGAGCCATCTGCCATGCCATGTGGGTCACCTCCCTGGCCAGGGATCAAGCTCAAGCTGCAGTGGCTGCGATATTTCCTAGTGCTGTGCTTTAACCTGTTGCGCCACCAAGGAGACGCGCTCCAGCAAAGTTTAACAAGCAGGATGGGGAAGCAACACCTCAGCTCACAGAGCTCTAAAGATGGGGAGCTGTTATGACAGCCTGGACCAGAAAGAGGCAAGCAAACTTCCCTTTCTTTTGTATGACTTGCAGCGACACACATAGTCACATACCTGCTGCCCCCAGCCTCACGTCATATTCTCAGGGTCTTTCACACAACTTGCAGATTCTCAAAGATCTCCCTTTCACACAGTTGTTGCTCAGTCTCTCACCCAGCGGTACCAAGGCTCCCCCCACCTCCCCACTTTCCAGCTTCCTCACACGAACACACGGCTCCCTCCCGGCCTCTGCCCTTCCTCTCAGAGTCACATGTGGTGTTTTCCAGACAGTCACACACAGTCTTCTCCCCACCGTCTCTCCCTCCCTCTCCCCTCACATCACACACTTCGTTGCTTCACCGTCTCAGTCTCCCACGCCCTCCCTCCCTCACCGAGTTTCCCCAAAGTCTCTCAGGCAGACACAGCGTCTCCTGCTCACATCCTTTCTCACCAACAGTCTAACAACCTCCTCACACACGATGTCTCACACACCTCCCTCATCACACACACCCTTGCTGGTAGCGTCTCTCCCCACGGTGCCCTGCACACCTCATCTCGTGCTCATCACCTCAGCTCCTGCCCCGAGGAGTCAAGTCTTCTCTCCTCCTCTGCCCCTGGGAGACTTCTACTCCCAGGGCCTCTCCCCACCACGAGCTTCCTGCTTCTTCCTACTCAAAGTGCCCTTCTCAGCCTCCTCAGAAAGCCCATTCTGGTCAGGGGCGGTGAGGCTATTCTGTCTCAGACCTTGCTGCCAGTCTCTCCCACTACAGGGGAACTGAAAACAAAGGGGGCCAGGGTGGGGACTGCTCTACTAGCCTCAGGCCCCACTCCCTGACCACAACCTAACCACAGTGTTACCCCACTGGAATTCTCCAGAAGCATCTTGCCACCCCACCCACTCCCCCAACCCCCTTGCTCGTGGACAGCTGGTGCTCTCTTCTGAGAGTCTCCTCTGCCATCTTGGTCTCCTTCCCATCACACTAGAGCATGTGATTTTGAGGCCCAGGCTGAGCCAATCTAAATATTTATTCCTTTGCTCCTTGCTGGGGCTGCTCGATGGCAAGAGAAGGGGCCAGCTTCATTGGGTGGGGGAGACAAGAGGTGGGGCTGGAAAGTCGGCCAGAGATCAAAGCCTTTCTAGTCCTGTGCTGGCTGCCTGTGAAAGACGCGGGAGCACCTTGGCTACTCTGCCCTGTCTCCCCAAGCAGAAGCAGGGATGGATGGCATCAACCCCAAAATAGGCCCAGGTCAGTGTCCAGAGACTGAAGCCGCCCCTACTGTGAGACGCCTGTATACCCGCAGGGCAGAGACTTTCTGGCATTAGTGCAACCGTCAGGCAGGGCAGCCGGGCCCCTGCTCTCGGCATCCCAGCCCCCAGTGCTCTGTCAGTCAAATCCCAAAGGTCACCAGTGTCTGTCTGCCCCAGGAAACAATGTAAGGCTTTATAGGGATCAATTGCAATCGCACCCAACTGTTCCTCTGACTCAGGGCTCCTAAGATTGGGCTCCATGCTGCTCTCTCATCTGGAAGCCAAGCCCAGCCCAGACGCCTGCCCTGCTCTGTGCCCAGTATCAGAATCCCTAGTGGCATCTGCACTGAAAGGACGGAAGTTCCTAATGATGCCCTGGTCCCTAGAGCTGAAAAGAAGGAGATAGAACAATCCAGAGCTGGGCAGCAGGGCCTGCCAGGTCCTGGCTGGCACAGCTTTGTTACTTCCCGCATGCCTGGCTGATCTCTGCTTGGCAAAGGCCTCTTATTCACTCCTCACAACACGTCTTCCAGCATCGTATTACTGTCCCTGTTGTACCCATGTTGTGTCTGGGCCTGGGGCTCGGAGAGGTTAAATGATTTCAAGTCACACAGCTGGTAGTGGACAGACAAATGTACCTGTGAGAGCAGCAGCACCTGTGAGGTCTTTTAGAATTGCTTCTGCATCCCCCAGCCCCTGATCTCTCCAGAGGCCACAGGAAAGAGGGGAGGAGTGTCTGGCACAGAAGCTGCCAAGCAGTCAATACGCAAAAGCCCCTTGGGGGTTATGTGCCTGGGGGTCGGGCAGCCCTATGCAGAGGAGGGCTTCTCTGTGAACTGGCTTCTCTGCACTGAGCTGCTTCTGAGCTCCCTTCTTCCCTTTCCCCTCCCCTACTCAGGTTTCTCCAGCCTTCTGGAAAGAGCCTGCTCACATGTCACGGGATGCATAGTGCCCACTGGGACAGAGTGGAGGAATCCCTGGTCCTAATCCTAAACCGTTAGCTACTTGATGGTATCACTTCGTAGTTCTGAGCCTCAACTTACACAGCAGTAAAAGGAAATCCAAGTCTAGCCCATGATGTAGTCGTGGGGACCAAATGAGGCCATGTGAGACCCAGACACGCAATTCTCTTCTCTGGCTGGACCTCGGACTTCCTGGGGGACAGGAGTCAACTGGACTTTATTGTAACATAATACCACCTCTCTGTAGCTTAGGAAGCCCCGGAGGGGAGAATCTCCTAGCTTCCACCCTTCTTTCCAGCAGGCCACTCACTTGTCACTTGTCCCCAAGTGAGTCTTCACTGTTGTAGGACCCCACCTGGACACAGGCAGTGCTCTGGGCAGGCCTGCTGCCCCCCGAGCCAGGGATCCTCAGAGGCGGCAGAGAAATTGCTGTTAGGCCC